GGAACTGCATGGGCAGTGTACTCCATTTCTGGAAGCGGTGCCTCTGTTACTCATGCTCTCCAAACCAGGCACACCGTGTGACGGTCTGGGGTTTTCCAGGGAGCACTCCTGGAGTGACACAACTCCTTCTTCCCACAAAGGAATGCCAACATCCTGAGATGCTCAGGGTGCAGGGCACCAGAAGGTCACAGCCAGGACAGTTCTGCCAGCCCCACCTGCCGGAGGGTTGTTCCCTGCTCCCTTTGCCAGGAAGCTGCCTTCATTTCCACACACAGCTGGAAACTGTTCAGGGCTGGATGGAATCAGCAGATGGTCACAGAGCTACCGAATGTTCAGGTTTCCCTAGACTCAACCTTTCTGACTGGAAATTGAATGCAGATGGGATCTGAGGTCTCTGGGACATTCAGTGTGGATCCCTGGATGAACCACTGCAATACAAGGGGAGGACCAGTGCCCATACAGTTATCTGGGAATCCCAAACAGAAATAGGGGAATCAGGTATGTTGAACCACACCACCTTATGCTTCTTGAGAAGGGGAAAAGCGATAAACAGCAGAGATATGCTGGAAAAGCCTCATCAAATTACTGCAGCCTTGGGAGACCTTTTTAGAACACTCAAGCCTCACCTTCAGACACGAGGATGCACACGGCCATTACTTGACTCCTGGCACAATGAAATGTAGCAATTATTGATAATTTTAGCCTCAGCATGTGCAGCAATGCAGCATGCCAGCTCTAGGTTTCTACTCCATGCCTCAGCTCACAGGAGCTGTAGAACAGTCTGAGTCAGCCAAGGGGCAGAAAAATATCACTTTCAGCAACATTGCGTGATCAAGGGGACCCTTGAGGGGTGGAAAAGGTCATGAATTCCCCTATCCCAACCCTGGCTCTCACTGCAACTGTGGCAAATTAACTCCTCTATCTTCCTCTACAAAGCGGAGATACTATTTGCCTACCTCACAGGAAAGCAGAGAGATAATTACCAAGGAAAACTAAAGACTCGGCTCCAGAACTTACTACATGAAGAAATTAAATACTGAATGAAGCAAGACTCCACAAGTGCCACTTAACTCTGACATCTGGAGCTTCCAGCCCTCCAAGGTCTTAGCAGCAGCAGGACTTAGGCTAACATCTAAATGTTCCCTAAGGGTAAGAGCTCACTATACCCAAGAGTGAATCGGTATGGTTCAGGCAACCGGAAGCTTTGCCTGTCTGTCTGAGCAGCACCTACTAAGGTGCTAAGGGGTCCTAAGAAATAAACAATGTAAAGTACATTTATATTCACACACACCCCATTTTTCCAAGCAGTAATCAAGAGTATTATGTTACCTATGGTCGAAATGATTAGTCATGTTTCCAAAGATTAATTTACATGTTCTTTTGTTTTATGTGTACTAACTGATTTAATGGCTGCTTACGAACTGAGCTAACAGTCATTTTGAGAAACAGATGTCTGGTGCAGTTGTAAGCATTAAGAGTGCTTTTATTCATATCCTTAGGAGAAAAAGGGCTACACAGTCTACAGTAATAACACTAATGAATCAAAATACCACAGCTGCCCAACAGGGTTCTGACAGAAACCAGTTTTTTCTCAAAGGAACTTTTTTTTTAGGACTCTGGGACAGTGAACAACTGGTAGTATGCATGCTTTACATGTAAGTATGTGCTTTGCTGGGGCCAGAACACTGAATCAAGTCCTATCTGCACCCAAACAAAAGGAGGCTTTTGCGTAAGTGCTGAAAACTGTAACTACACAAAGGCAGTGAAATTTGTATGGAATTTGGATCCTCCACATTTTATACCAATAAATATTTGAGAGTTTGAGTGCTTCTGATACAATTTTGTGACACTGAATGCAGAACAGGTTGCTGCCTTTAAGCTCTGATAGATTACTGTGTGTGGGTGGTAGGGTTAAGATGAAAGAAAGGGAAGAAAGCTACTAGGAAAGCAGTTGGTGGTTGCAAATCTATGATAAATAAACAGCACATTCCTCTTCTGCACAATTCCATTAGAGTCTGTGTCAGACTTTAAGATCCTAATGTCATTTGGGTGCAAATTTGACAGCCTGGGGTTCTGCAGTGCTCCCTATGGCAAGTAGATTTGGGATCTGAAACAATTTGCCATGCCCCAACAGCGTTGCTGTCAAGTTCCCAAGGAGCCTCTAACGCACTAGTTATTCACAGGCCCTCTGCAATGAACCATGGGTTTGATATTTTATGGTCTGGTGTGTACAGTGCAGGATATGATTACACACAAGCCTGCTTCCCATCAGCCACCACCTCGTAATCGTTAACATATTTATCCTTGTGGTGCCTCAAGAAGATGACATTGTTATTAGTCCCATTTTATAGATTCAGAACTGAAGCTCAATAGCTAAATGACTTGCCTTTGATTACACAAGATTTACACTGAAGGACAGAACTGAGTTGTAACCCTACCAGGCCCAAGCAAGGATTGCACCAGGAGGACCAGATCTATGTGCAGAGCTGTCCTTCATCTCAGGTGCTTGTAAGTCTTATGAAACTACTGTATCTGCACTGGTTTTGTGCTTTTGTGTCTCATCCTTTGCCATTGCAGCTACCTGCAGTGAATATGATGTAGATATATTACTACACGCAAAAGCTAAACTCTTTAAGTTACATCCTTCTGTAGCTGCTGAAGACAAGAGTCTCCAGATCATGCTCATGTACTTTATAGCATGTTGAGCAACATTGCTGAAACACATAAGACATGCTGAGACAGTGTGTTAAGAAAGGTTGAGACCTAGTAAGATCTCCCTCTTCTGCTTTATCTGTACCACACTGTGCTGGAAAATGTAGTGACTGCTAAATTTCAGCCAGTAAATATACTCATCAGGCCTGATTTAAGTACCAGTTTGAGTCTGTGAGTAAACACTGCTTTCCAGCACAAACCACCCCTCTCAGTATGCCCAATGAACTCAACAAGTCCCATTTTATCCGGTACATGAATTGTAGAAGACAAGCCACTACACAAGTAGAAAAAGACCTTCTTCAAATTCCTCTCAAAGTAGTCAGTAAGATGGAGGAAGAAAGTACTATGACACACTTGCATTGAGGAGACCTATTGGTACTATCACCAGACCATCCGCTGGCAAGACACACAGGTGACAGCTCTCTTTCCTTAAATCAATTGCTGTTGTGGAGAAACAGGCTAGCTATCAGTTTCCATAGTGGTAACCATAGGCCTCAGAGAAATGTATTGATCTCTAGGAGGCAAACACTGGGAGCCAGCCATTCCTACCACTCAGGCTTCAGATAGGGTGGGTGTGCAGCTGCTATAGGTAAGAGAAGTTTGCAACAAAGAGCACTGTCATGGCTATGAGGCTCTGAATTTGACCTGCTTTTCTCTCTGTGCCTCAGAACAGTTAAAACCCCAGATAAATATTTGTGTGCTTCATCTTAGACCTCTGCTAACCTTTCACCACCGTGTCTTGAGTGCATCTCTGTTTATCTTATCCTGAATAACATAAAGCTTTCTTATCTAAGCAACTGTCTCCCAGCATTAAGGCTTACCAATCAGCTGCCTTCCTGACCTGATGTGCACCCCAAATGTCTCTGGTCTTCCCCAACCACTGTGAACTCAGAGTTTTCACTGGGCATGCAGATTCATGTGAACCCAGCATCTGTGAGAAATGCTGCTCAATACTTTTGAGCCTTCCCAAGTTGGGTGTGACTTGTGCAAATCGTTTTGTTTTTTCAGTGGGGCCAACAGGACCAAACTTTAGGTACAGAAATACTTCTCAAAATCGGAGTCAGGTCAGAATCTGGCTCCACAGAATTACTATATAGCAAAAGTATGATTATTTCTAAAGCAATAACAAAGCCACTTGAGAGTTTTCTTTAATAAGCAGCAATACTTCATATTACTTATTAGTACACAGCATCGGCAACTGACATAATACTTCCCCCAAAAGGATTAGGCAACTCAGAAATATTCATATACAAGGCAAATCAGAAGTCAGCCACAAAATGGAACAAGAAAGGACATCAGGGTCCTAATAAAGGATGAGGAATATTTTTCTCATGAAATGCTTGAATCAAGAAAGGAACAGGAATTGAAACAGAGCAGGACACTGTCCCTGCCTGGCACTACAGGAAAGAGCTGATTTCATGATGATCTTTACTCTTGGAACAAGAAAGCACAAATGTTCACTGGAGACTAGGAAACCGAAGGAAATACCAAGATGAAAGAGCACAGCAAAGATGCATGCCTCTCTGTATCATTTAGACGAAAACATAAAGATTGGTGGGAAGATATTTAACCAGCAACTGAAACAAGCTGAAGCGAGGAAGGGGAGAAACCCCAAAGACCTAAGTCCAGATACTGGAGATGGCTTGAAACCACAGGTAATTTCCTATAGATTCAGTGAAGTCAAGTTACAAATGAGGACCACCAGGTCCTACTTAAATCACCTGTTAGTCTACAGACTATTAGAGAGCAGGGTGGTACTGGTATGCAGTTACTGTCAGTACATGCATGCTTAAGCAAGGTAAGATCAAAGTCACTTAAAAATAAAAGGGGGAATAAACCCAACATTTTAAGCAAAAGGTTTGTAATGATGGGCTTGAAATCGAAATGCTTAGGGAAAAACATCAGCAAACACTCATCTATGCCACCTAGCTCTTTGGATACCATACGCTTTATAGGTATCCGTACATTTTACAGGGCTCAGTCCAGTCTGATTCCAATCACTGTACATCACAAACAGCAGGTTCTACAGAACACAGTCAGAGCTGCTTTGCATTAGCAAGGTTTGTTGAAAACCCTCCTCAAAATCTGCCCTCCTGAGTATCAGCCCATTAACCCAACCTCAACAACTCTTCTCCCTCTGTCCTTGTGCTGTGCAAGTATTTGCTGCTAGCCTTCCTTTCCCCCTGCCAAGTCTTTTCCCGCCCAGCTTTAACCTTGTTTCCCACACTTAACTCTTTAGCCTCCCCATGCCCCCCATCTGAGTGTGGAGCGTGCAGGGTGAAACTTACGGTGCTCGGTCGTGGTTCAACCCGTTCTGTCTTTGTGAATTTATTGGAGGTAGAACAGGTTTGCTGTTAATCTCAAGCCCTCTCCGCAAAGTCTCCCTGATCTGCTCTGTATCTGCAAAGAGAAGTTTTTAAAACATGACTTAGAGTCCTCAGAAACATCACAGACACAAGGAAATGTCAGCTGGTTGACTTTTTTTTAAGGCCTGTTTCTATGCTGTGTTTCATCTAAACTCTTCCCCTTCAGAAAGAAATGAAGATCTCTTAAGGGTTAATTCTTACCAGCTCTTTCTGCACCTCAGGAGTCATTTCACTTTGTAAAGTCAGACTGAATTCTCTCGGTTTGGGCTGTGATGTTATGTCAGGCAAGGAGAGCTGGAACCTTTTGTACTGAGCCCTCCTCATGAGGAAATTCTGAGTAGTTTTGTATCCTTTCATAAATGAGGTGTTTGCTGTTTCTGCAGCTCCTACAGAACCTCATGACACTTCCAGCCTTTGCACTGGAAGCCACTTTTCCCATTAGGCATAACAGGAATTCGTTCCTTTACCAAATGAGTGCAAGGACATTCCCAAGCTTTTGCAATTGGCTTTGCAAATCTGTTGATTAATTAACGACAAGATTCACAAAAGAAGGGAATTTCATGCAGGGCAAACTTTAGCCTGAAGCTTACATTTGAAAATAAACTGCAAATTATGCAGTTCAGATGCAGTCTTCTTACTTTTTCATCTGCCTATAATGTCTAATGGCCAAATACTTCAATAGGAGCCTTGCTTTCCTTAGAAGTGTCCTCATCTTTTTTTTGAGAAATGTGGGAATTGGGTAGACAAAAAATATCCAAACGATTTAAAAATCTTTTGAAGGCTATACAAATCTCATCACGTTCACCAGTCTTGGGCTCTCCATTTGCAGAGCTGAGGGAAAACAGCCTTTTTAGATTCAATGCAGCTCAAAATATTTGCACAGGAGCCAGAAGGAACCCTATATATATTTAAATGCTTTTTATTTTACCATGGACTTAAACCCAAGTAAGATACCATTCCTGTGGAAACCATTATTAATTCCAGGAAAACAAGCCCTCCAATTTTACATTGTTTCACCCACTTGAAAGGCAACACGTGTAATTTCAAGCACGTGCAATGGCAATGACATCTGTACCCTGAGATGGCATCTCACTATAAAGGGAAACTCCGCTGTAATTTGTTTCTTCTTTCCAGAGTTCCGTATTTGCAAGATCACTTGAGTTCAGCTACAGAAATGTGCAGGATCAGTCTAACTTGCCACCCAAGAAGTGACAATGTGAGTGAAGGAGCACATCCTGGGAAAATGCAGTTGCTTCACCTTGCAGGTGTTTACAGTCCTGTTTCTTTCACCCAGTGCTAAGTTTAACTGTGCAGATTTAGATTAGAAATAGCCTAAAACTTGAAGGAAGCATTTAGACAACAACACAAAGATCTCTTTTCTTCTCCCCTGCCTTACACAGAGAGGCCACACCAGAATTCCTTTCCCTCTCCTGTGACACACTGAGCCTTCCAGCAACTGTAGTGTTTGTTATGAACCCCAAGATGCTGCATGACTCAGCCCACTGCCCAGATCCATCAGAAAACAAGCACTGACAGTGACTCAGCTCAGGACCTCTCACCTTTTCCAGAGAGCCGCCGTGGCTGGGTCCCAATGCAAATGCTCCTGCTGTCTTCATCATCCTCTGGGGGCCGGCTGAGATCGTCCCAGGCACATTTGGCACTCACTCCACTCAGGTTTGAGCCATCTGTCTCAATCCCTTTGTCCACTCTCTCCTGCTTGAAAAGATCCAAAACCCCAAGATGGTTTTGGGTGTTGCCTGAACCCGAGCTGGAACCCACCCTGGTTCAACCCAGCCTTTACATGACCCTCCTTTGTGGCCAGTTTCCACTCTCTGTCCTCCATATGTTGATCTGTCAGCTAACAGTGACTGCATATTGAGCAAAATTAGGGAGCTGATCTGAACTGGAACAAACCTTTTCCATAGCAGGTTGGCCTGAAGTCCTACTCCTTTCCCACTGCTTCACTACACAGCCCTAGCAGGCATAAGGCAGGGAAAGAGAGAGGTGGAAACTGATGGTTTGGGCTATGCAGTGTTGCTACTTTCAGTGTTAGCTCTGATTTTACACCAACTCAAAGTACATTATACACTCCTCTGTGAAGCACAGCTTGGCAGTCTACCTAGTGTATGTCAGTGATAACAAACTCCTGAATAGACTTGTTCTCTTTCCAAGATTACCAAGGAATCCCACAATGAAAAGCGCTCAAAGAGAGACTCATCATTCACAAGAGTTCATCATTGGCAAACCAGACAACCACTGCGCTTTTCAGTGTGCTAGGGTGTTCAGCAAAGGACAAATGTGCAAGGAGACACAGGTCTGTTCACAATGTCAAAGCTTTTGCATAGCTTTATCAGCAAAACACACAAACTTCCTGCCTTGCAAGTTGGACTTCCCAAGCATGCAACCACCATTTGGGCCTCATAAGGTGTCATACACCACCCACAAGCAGCTGGATGCTCCCAGACACCATGCACTTTGTCCAGGACATGTGCATCTGTAGCCAGCAAGACTGCCCTACGCTGCAGCCAACGCTTCCACAGGACACCTACCTGCTGGGGAAACAGGCATTAGTCTGAATTTCCATCTCTGCCCCACAAGGGGGTGATGTTGAGCTGAACAAACTCGGGGCTGAGCTACACCGAGGAAGGGCTGCTCTTAACCGCTGTCACCTCTTCCCAAACCCACTTACATTCAGTTCCTCCTTGCAAGCTGCGCCCTAGAAAGAGCATTGCCTGTTCTTGTGACCATTCAAGAGAGGACCTGAGCAGCTCCAAGATAAGCACGAGCGCTCAGGGTGTGGTTGCACAGCAGTATAAACTGATGTAATTCTAGAGGGTGCAGTCCCACCCTTCTCCATGTGCTCCTACCCCTTCCCTTGAGCCAACTGTTTCTTTCAGCTGGATCACCTCCCTAAACTGGCTCTTTGGCCCAAGCCCGTGGCTGAGGGCAGGATCAGGGCAGTCCTAACTTCGATTTAAGCATTCAAGAGACTACTTTCCTTCTGCCTCTCTCCTTGAAAGACTACTCCTCATTGGGATCTTCCTCTGGCATCAAGGGGAATCTGGCTTCTATGAAAACATCATAGGAAAATCTGAGAAATAACAAATCTGCTGGGATTTTCTTTTGTTATATCCTAAACATCAAATTAGTTGTTTTACCCAGAAATAGAAGTTGTGGAAAAAGAAGTAAAAATACATCCGATCCTACACATGCAAAACAATGCTCCGAGTGAGATTTAGCACTTGGCTCCTTTGGGAGCCCTCCGCAGTGCTCTGTGAGGACCCACATCAGCCTTGTCAGCATGGTTGCTTTTTGTTCCAGTGATTGGAGAAGCATGGGAAGACCACCAAACTTGCCCTTTAGCAGAAAACAGAAGAGCCCGAAGGGCCCTGAAGACTCCATCAGTACAATCTTGTGGGACATGCTTCTCCATCCCCACAGTCAGGGCCCCCGGACAGTGCACAGAGCCTTGGGGAGGGGGAAAGGGACTCGTCATCTGCATCTCAGCTGGTCTGCAGACCACTTCCTCAAGGGAAGAAGCACAGCTCTGTTGGCATCCCCTGGAGATCAAGGGGGGCTGATGGAAACGATCTGGCCTAAAGCAGCCAAATTTGCATGCCTGTTTTATAACGTTTGCAAGTATCGAAGTGTGTGTGTGTGTGTGTGAACCCCAAAAAACCTAACCAGTAGCTGGGGCAGTGCACAGCTTTAGTCCATCTTTAGTCAGCAGAGATGTGCCTGGACTGACAAGCTCTTCTTCCTCCCTTGAAAGGGCAGTCCGAGCAGGAGCTTGGAGTAGCCCAGGGCAAAGGAGGTTCAGCTTTTTCTTTCCTCAAAGAAAGGATGTTTCTGTCCCATTTTCCTCTCAGCATGTGGGAGGGATGCTCTGAGGTTCTTGTATGTCATTGATCCCTTTCTGCATGAGCCAGAGCACTGCGGTGTGACCCGCAGAGCAGCAACCACAACTCAGGAAATTCAAATCAGCTTTATTCTCTTCTGACATATCTGCTAAAACAGAAGCGAAGCACTGAGAACCAGCGCAGAGCTGGGGACCAACAAGGATTGCTTGACAGTGCTGCCAGGGAAATCTGAATGGCCTACAGGGAAGCCTGGCTGAACAGAAAACAGCCAGCGTTGCCACAGCGTTAATTGCCGACATCCTGGGATGACATCTTAGTTGGGATCCATTCTCAGCAACTCCGAACAGAAAGTACAGCTGCTGCTGCCAGGGCTGGGTTTAGGCCTCAACCAATTCCCACAGACACAATGCAGCCTCAAAACAAGCTCTGCCCGCTTCCCAGGCAGACACCATGCCTGTCCGCTCCCGGGAAAGTTGTCCGTTTTCCCTGCTGACTCCCTCTTTTCTCTCCACCTATCTTCCTTCCAGTGCTGCCTTTCAGCTCTCACACACCCTGTGCCACCACCAAGAAAATGCCAAGCGAATGGCACTTTATCCTTTCCCCACTAATTAGAGCAGGAGGCGCATAACATAGCTGAACCCAGTCCAGCTCCCTGCACTCAGCAAAGGCTCTTTGTGGGACTCAGCACCACAGGAGCAGGTTTTGCCCTGTGAATCCCCAGGGGCTGCAGCAGCAGAGCAGGAAGGAGGCTCACACAAGCATCTGTGCACACACACTACTGCATGGGCAAGAGAGAACAGAAACAGGAATGTCTTCAATGTAAGGAAGTCCGGAAGGACCACAGACATCGCAGCTTTCAGAGGCAGGACACACTGGTGAGGCACAGGTACTCTTTGTTTGCCTTAACTTGCCTTGTCTGACTCAGATTCCAGTAAGCTGAGCTACTTTTCATTTACAGTAAATTGAAGAAAACCCTGTTATCATTAGGAATCACCAGTGTGCAGAGAACAGAAACACCTCCAGGAGGTAAGAGGGCAACATTCTGAAGAGCCTAAAAACTTTATAGGGCTTGCCATGGCATTAGTTCCCACATTGTGGGACACTTGTGGAACATCTTTTGTGTGTGTCTCAGACTGGGGTTATTTTAGATGAATAAAACCTTAAAAACAGTAAAAGTAGAATTTGGTTTTCTTTGTAAGCTTTCAAAACAAGAAATGCTGTGAGGCAACTGAGGGTAATCAGATGCAGACACGCAGACCATAAGCAAATGCAATGGCTTGTACGAAACGTGCATATATGCATGTGCCCTACCAGGCTAAGCCGTAAGTTCTCTGTTAAAGGCAAATACACAGTGATTCACTGAACCAAGGCCAGCAACACACTGGATTTGCCTGGGAGACATGTGCCCCAGTACCACAACTCTGCTGAAGGTATGCAGAACTGCCTCCTAAATGAATGGATCAGCAGTAGTCCATGGGACTGTGACCCCCTCCATAGAGGTCCTATGCTGATCTTTAAACATTAGAAATTAACTTAAAATCTAAAGAAGAATATGTCTTCCTACATGGATTAGTAATAACTGCATGAGATACTTTTGGCTTCTTATTATTTCTCAGACCACACTAACTGCTTGGCCTCAAGTGACATCCTACAGGAATGAGCTATGCTATCACATTTGCTGTGAAAAAATACTACTTTTTTTGAGTTTTCTGCATGCTACATCTCCTTATGCTTGCATACAAAATAAAGGATTAATTTCCTAATAATGTCTAAAGCTTGTATTGTGCTATGTTCTTTTATCTTCTTCTGTTTTTCTCCTTTCTAAAACACGCAGCCTAAATCCTACCAATTTGTTTCATCAACGAGATTCTGTTTTCCTAGTCCCCCTTCTCTAACTTTCTTCCTAGAGCTGTCATCCACCTGGGACTGGATATGTGCAGTTCTGAACCACCTCTGAGAGAGCAAAGGGAGTCTCTAATACTTTTCCAGCACTATAGCAAACATTGAGAAGGTAACAGCACCTTTATAGAAAATAATAGAACGGTTTATACCATTAAACCAATTCTCCCTCTGGCTACTACAAAAGACATGACATTTTATAAACCAAAGACATACTTGTAGATGTGGGTCAATCTCAAATATTGTCTCTCCTCTTCGCATATCTGTTATCAACCAGGGGCCTCCAGCTCTACAAAGAAAGAAAGGAAGTCAATAAACCAAACAAGCACTTCAGCTCATATTCCCCACCAGAGACCTCAGAGTGGACTTGTACTGGAAGGAAGCACAAGATAGAGTTTAAAAGAAGCCTAGAAGCCCCTCTATGTTGTGCATACATCTCATAACATGCAATTGTCCTTTACATTTCCCAAATACATAATAAAAGTCCTCCATGACATACCTATTCCTTGCCTAGTGTCTGGCACCACCAAGTCCTGCAAAGCCATCAGGATTCACACAGGCTATTATACCCCTGTCCTCTGTGTGGGCCCACTTACTCATACAAGACTGAGCTGAGTTTTAATCTTACAAGTAACTGAATTTGGACTGGAAGTCCAATGTAGCCTGGGTCTAAGGAAGATGGGCAAAGCATAGGGTCAAAATTTATACCTCTGCTACTATCTAAAGATGCAGCAGGGTCCCAGTGGGACTGCAGTTTTTGAAGAGATCAGCAATCACGTTCAGTACCATAAAGAGCCTCCTGCGCTGATAAATAGCCTCACAATAGACATTTTACCTAGCTGGTACTTAATGGCCAAGCTAGGTATGGTTCAGGGATGGTTCAGGGAAAAGCTTTGTTTTCATTAGCATTAAAAGTCAGAAGGGTCAAGATGTTTCCCAACAAAGGTGGTAGAAAACAGATTACTGTGAAGATTACTACTCAGAAACTTTTCTTTGGGTCACTGTGCAGGCAGACTGCAAAAGTCAGCCTCAGATGGTGCTTTTCATTTGAAATAAAAACTGAAGTCTGTTGCCATAAAAATTTTCATTATTTTCATGAGACACTTTATTATTGCAGTCAAAAGCCCCCTCCTCTGGCCTTGTCTGTGTTACAGACTCCTAAAGCATGCCTAAAATGGGAGCAATAGAAGTTAGTATTTTCTAGTTTTTCAGAGGCATTGATAGCCACTCTTTTTTCACATCACTTTGGAAGCTGTGAATTATAACCTGCAGAGGTGTGACCTGTTTCAGTTCCTTACTGGGATAGCAACGGACTTTTACCCTGACTCCACATCAGCAGCCTAGTAGTTTGCAGTTTTGCCTTTGAATCATACACATTTGGGTCCCATTTTATCCTTGGAAAGGTGCTTTTACCACATCGCAAACACCCAAAACCAGCATGAGAACAGAGTGAGAGGGGTGCTATATCTCTATTAACTTCGAGGAGCAAAAGGAGCTGCAAGCAGCATTTATTGTCTTGGGGTACCAGAAACAAAGCTTGCAGCTAGACAAATTCACTCTACTTGAGATAGCAGATAGTAGTGCCTAGAAGGGAAAGGTTCAAGTTTAAAAAGTCCATAAGCAAAGGCTCCTCCAAATAATCAAAAGCCATCGTGACACTAGAGAGTATATACTATTGTGCCCAGGAACACATATGCAGAACTATTTTGTTTTAAATAAAAAAAGTGATCTTTTGCGCAATAATCACATAGCAATAACTTCCACTAAATATAAGAGAAAATATTTAAACAAAACACTTGCAAGCCAAAAAAGTTTAGCTGCAACCAGGCAGCAAATAAAGCATCATCATATCATTTAACATTTAAAAGTGATCTACTTCTTAACCCAGTGACATCTTTGTTTTGCTATGGGAGAAATAACAATCAACTTCACTTGCATGAACACTTCTCCTGTTTCAAATTCGCTCACCAAGAGTGGGGCCAGGTTGAGAGCGACTTTCTCACTTTCAGTCCCCAAGCTTTGCTAGGCATTGTAAATCAGACCTTCTTCCTTCCTTTTGAACTACACAGAGAGGTCACCAGTAAGTTATCCCAGCTCTAGTAGGAAGAGCCAATGAGAAAATACTGCAGGCATAAAAGGAAAGAAATTAAGCTTTCAAGAACTCATTCTGTTTCACCATGAACATGTGGACTTCTACATGCATTAATCTGCCATCTAAGTGTCTCTGTGTGAGAACAGATTTGCAATGAATTCCCATCTCTTGCTACAGCACGGGATTAAGTAAATTCCATTAACAAGTTAAAGATTGTTAATAAAAATAAACAAGTGAGTCGCTCTCCACGGGAATGCTCCCCTATATGGGCTATATGAACACTTACACTGGGACAGTCCGAAGCAGTTCCAATATCCCTTGCCCATTCCACTGCTGAGCTGCATGCAGTTCCTCAGTGCAAACTCCAACAATCTGGAATAAATAAAAAAGGGGACACTAAACTGGATGGGAACCAGGCAAGAACTCTAGAGAAAATGTACCACATGGTACTGGATCAAACATTGCAGGTACAGAGGAGAAGCACCAATCTTTAAAGTAGGAGAGCAAGGACAAATTGAGCCTGAGACAATAGAGGGATTCTGCAATTCCTTATGCCCTCTCACTACACTTATCACGGGAAGTGCCCTGGTCATGTAACATTTAATCTTGCACAGCATGTGCAACTATGAGGAGAGCCTGGTGATAAATCAGGGTTTACTGAAGATCCACTAATCTGTTCTCACTTTTCAATCTAGTCCACACAAGACAGGACAGGTTAGGGTCTGAGCATATGCAAAACACTGCTCTGTCAGCCAACTGCTAGGGGCAAATGCAATACTGCACCTGCAATTTCAGTCAGGCAAGGGACTTGCTGCCACAAGGGAGTGCTTCAGTGCTCATAAATCCTTGACCAACTCAGTCTGCTGACTGGTTACATCTTACCCAGCACCATAAAGTAAAGCTGCTTAAACATCACATAATCCACTCGTCACTGCAGGCAGTTGCATCCTGTATAAGGCAGGATGTGTTTGCTTTTAGGATAGAGGCTGCCACACTGAGCAATACCAGATGTCTCTCTCACAGCAGCTGAGACTGCCGCTTCAGATGAAGGAGTGAAACACCCTTCAGCTGATAGAGGAAGGCAGTTTATTCCTGATCCATCATCTGCTGGCTTGTGGCTTTGAGCATAATGATTTGCTCTTTGGGATGAAAAGTTATTTTAGCCATGCTTTTCTATTTTCTTCCTCAATACTCTAAATCTTTTCCAATGACACTGAATTTTTGGCCAAGATTTGTTGAACTGATGTTTTATCAGAAAAGAGAAAAACTGAAAACTAAGTTCTGAAGAGCAGCAAGCAGAAGTGCATGATGTGCCTTTGCCACAAGCATGAATCTGCACTGATAGAGATCTGTGTGGAAAATCATCAACGTCAGCACATAGCCAGCTCTACACACCCTACTTCCCCTGCCCCTTGCAGACCTCACTTTCTCAGGACCCAGCCCTTCGAGACGCACTTCATCCTCACCCATCTCCCAGGCTTCCTCCAGTAACAGCTTGAATCACCCTTGCTTCAGGACACCCCTCCCTGGGCCTTCACTCACTAATTACATACAAACAGCAAGACTCTAAACAGGAAATTAATTTGTGTTCATTCTTTTCTTTTTGCAATCGTTTATCCTCAAGGGTCAAAATAAATCCATAACAACAAGCATCAAACAAAGGGGAAAACTAAGTCAACCATATGTGTTGTGGAAGATGAGAGGCCAAGAGCCTCAGGATGAAACGAGTTGACTGTCCTTTGATCCAGCACAGCTGGGCACTAAAGGAGAGATGAGGACTCATGCAGCACTAACTGGAGAATCAGCCAGGAATCACCCTGCTCATCTTGGCACCTTCTCTCCTTTCAGGTCCCACAACTCACCTTTCACTGATTAAACCCACACCCATCCCTTCCTTGTTGATAAAACAGGGACTTTTGGGCACCTCAGAAAAGTAAGGAAGGCCTCTGCCTTTGCACAGCAGTTACCTTGTGTAGGTCTATGGAAATGGAGCTTCCACTTACATGTTGCAACTACAGCCAAGGACAAACGGGAGCAACTTGAAGCTTATATTGTAAAATACAGACACTTGCATTTTCCCACAGGATGGAAGCTTTTCCATAGAGCAGGAAGAAATAACCAGCTGACATAAACTATGCCAACTCTTCTACTAAGGCTATTAACTCCAATATGCAATTTAAAAATATCCAAAGCAGCCCATCTCTAAGAGATACCACTGAGAAGAAAGACTCCGGGAAAGCAAGCAAACCTGTTTGGCCAAGGGAGCTCCCCTCACTAACAGTCAGGTTTAATTGCAAGGGAATTTTTAAGTGTTTCTTTTGCAAAGCAAACCCGAACCTTTCTTAAACAGTACATCAATACAGGAAAGCTCACTCAGCCCCCAAAGAGTCTTTGTGTCAATGCTGCAAGCTACATTTCTGCCATTAAATAATGCTAAAGCAACTCTGAGTTCTGCTCCAAACTCTTCTTTTCCTGGCACTCAAACCAGTGGCTCACTTACCACAGAATTAATTTGAATTTAGCTCTACATTACCTTTTAAAAGTGTTTCTCTCAGCTTTTTTCCCCCTATGTTCATGTTTGGAATTTCAGAGCAGTAACGTAATATTCAACTCCAGGTCTGTTGCAGGGTGTAAAACTTCTCTTCATCAGATAGACCTCTATCTTGAGAGCTGAACATGCCATTGCTCAATCCCTGTAAAATGCTTACTGAATACCTCCAGAGTAACAACTCGAAGATCAAATCCATGGTAATCAAATAAGGAAGAAAGGTGGAAGACCGGATAATAATCATCTGACTTATCAGAGCTAAATTAAATGTAACATTAGCTGCATTCCACACCAGGGAGGTGATAGCAACTATTGCTGGGTCGTACCTGTAGGAAAGTAACAACCCCAAAAGGAGTCTGCACCGGCTGCATCTGAGGGTCTTCTGTCAGCAACATGTGCTGGATTCTGGATTCACTGTTGTCCAAAGGGCTGTGCCACGATACATGGTCACCGCTGCAGAAGGTGTTTTCTGCAAGAAAGAGAAGCATGAAATATTTAGTCTGTAAAGTCTGACAGAATATTTCTTCTCTTAGCATCTGCTCCTGACCTCTGTCTGTTCCAGGACAGTCACTGGTGGCTATTCACAGCAACTACCTCCAGCCAGCTCTGCTGAGTCTCCATGTCAGCTGAAGCATGTGATGCAGCAAAAGAACCTCACTGAGCCGTCTGAAATTCAAGAACTGACTTTAAAATTGCTCATTCTTGAGTCCTGTGGCAAAAAATGGGTGTCCTGCTTTGATATTAATCCCAAACCCAACAAATAAGATTAGTTTTTCTCTCATTTACTATTAGTCTCGTTTTGTGAGAGGGGGCAGAGTCAGCAGGCCATGCTGGATGCCGATGGGACACCAATTCATACTTAATTTACAGCTCTGATTTGCCACAGAGAAAAGATGCTGAAATGTGACTTCACAAATAACATTTTGCTATGTCTAATAAAAATCCACAGTCTGCTGCCCAACTTGTGACGGTCTCAGTCAAAGCCACTTTCTCTCCCAGCTGTCTGGTGGCTCTGGTGCAGAATTATAATTAATACGTTCCTTCCTTCCCAAACAATGAGAAAACCAGTAGGCTATAAATTTCCCTCTATGTCAGAATAAAGTGCATCAAAACAAAGAGACAGAAATTATCCTTCCTTCTTCACGACTGCAAGCATTCCTTTCTTTTCTTCTTCTCCTACTTAGAAAGACAAAGCCCCAGATAATCCCATGTTCCACAGCTGGTGCATGCTAGAAAGCCCACCAGAACCCATCTGTATGTTGCTGCTATTAGGCTAATGCTTTCTGAGTGAGCTAGAAGTAAAACAACCAACCATGACCATTTCACACCAATTATAGCATGGTCCAATTGCACACAGCTCCTACAAGATGTGTGAGATAATGCTGCCTAACTGACTGCCTTGTCCTCAGGTCTTGTGCTTGTCTCACTCCAGACAGACCTTTTATAGCACATACAAGTAAAGAGCCTGGAATACACACTCTGCTCTCTTACAGATGTGTAGTACCCCAGGGATGAAGCAAGTACTGCCTGCCTGCTACCAAAGCCAGTGGTAAGCACAACACCCCTCTGCCTGACCAAGCTCACTGATGAAGGCAGTCTGGGCTGCTGTCCTCACCATGGTCTCTCTCAAGGCCATGCTTACCAGAGAGGCTTTGCCCTCCTTTACTGGAGGAGGACTAGGACTTCTACTGCAGACAGGAAAATGTTAGTGGTTACTTGAGCTGCTGTTTGCCAAGACCGGAGCATCTCATATGATGCAGAGCAGGACCCCAGAGCATCTCATGATTCAGTAGAGTGCAGCTATGACCAGATGTGGTCCTGGATCTTCATCTAACCTTCCCACATCGCCTTCCAAATACATGTCAATAGGACTTCTCTTAACTATCTTTAGGGCATATTTGAAAATCCGTGAACATGGCAGCTTCTGCAGTGACAAAAGAGAAACAGCATTTGCCAGTAATTGTAGCTTTGTCCCCAGCCACATTAAAAAACAGACACTGAGGAACTGGGTCCTTGCACACCACTCACTGTGCACTCACACCACCACAACTGTGTGCATGTACTCTTGGCCAGCAGCAAGTGCAGGATGCTTCGAGGGAGCCATCAGCAGGTAATAAGAGTTATCTTGCAGTTGCTGTGGTTAAAAACACCAACAGTCTCAGTGATGAGCTAACTCATGCTCACCCGTTCAAGGATTTCATGCAGGGCGTCCCGGGCAACTCGTAGTTTCTCCACCAGGTGTCCCCATTGGCGTGTATTTCAACATTTATCATTACACGGTTTTCACATGAATGTCTTGGACTGCTTTTCCATTGAAAATTAAAATAAACTCCAAATACCATAAGGAACTTGGCCAGAAAATCGAGGCATGTAACAGAAGTGTTGTGATAAGTAAGGGAATGTTTTCCTTAGTTAAAATTAGGAAAGAAAGAAAACATAGCAAATGCAAGCTGCTTGAAAGAGTTTATCCTGAGGTACTCTAAATACACGCTTTCAGCTCTGCAACTGAACTGAGTGGCTCAGATGCTTTAGTTTTAAAGTTGGGAAAACATAAGCATATAAAAGTGAAAAACATAATTTATGGGTTGTTTTTCTTTAGTATCAAGACTGGATTAAAGAAACCACTCAGAATGTTGCAAAGGATCTTGTGATATTTTCCAGGTTAGGCAAAATGTGGCTGATTGCATTTTTGGTTTAAATGATAAAAGCCTCTCAGTCACAGTTTTCAGGAACGAAACAAAGCCACAAAGCGCTTATTCTTGGGCCCTGTCTTTCCACCACAACACTTTGCCCATCAAATGCTCACACAATTCTATGCTGATCGATCGCTGTGTTTCACTGCTGGTGCTGCTTCTCCTGGGAAAGCCCAGCCCGTTTAGAGCAGGTTTTCAAATGCAAATGTCTCTGCTGGAAACCTACCTGTTTATGCCCATGCGAACACTGAGCACTTAGAAAACCTCCCTCTGCCTTGCATGCACACGAACACCACAAAATTCACACTGACTACTCAATTAAATCACACACAGAAATACTGCACATAATATGAAGCTGAATTAAAACCTGTAGGAGTGCAAGAAATTCAGAATTACAGCCTAAACCTCAGTTTTTCACTTGGTGCATTGTAATCAATGTGGAATGTGAGATATAAGCTCTTCTACAGAGACCACTGCACTGAGGACAGCTTTAATTGCAGCACTTATGGCCACAGAACCGAAGAAATTACAGAAAGGACTTGATAACCACTTTATTTTGCCTAATTCGGGAAAGGAGGGTGAGCATTCTCCTTTCCCACCTTTCACATTCATGTTTTCAAAACAAGACAATCAAAGTCTTTCCAAGCATTTAAGTTGCTTGGAAAGTTGCCAGGGAAGTTGTGAATGCTCCATCCCTGGCACTGTTCAAGGCCAGGTTGGACAGAGACTTGGGTGGCATGGTTTAGTGGGAGGTGTCCCTGCCCATGGCAGAGGGGTTAGAACCTGATGACCTTAAGGTCTTTTCCAACCCTAACTGTTCAATGATTCTATGATTCTAAGTTTTAAACACTGTTTTAGCCAGAAAATCGTAAAGCTTTCATAAATGATTCCTCCAAAGTAAATTTATAACTAAACTTGTGGCTTTGAATTTAATTTACGTTGAATAGAACACAAAACATCCCAATAAATCCTCAAACTCATTACAGCATGGACAGATGTGAAAAGTCTCCTGTGGTTTTTGCACCTATCATTTGCAGCGCTGTTGATAATTCCTTTTTCACAACCTGCCTTTCATCCACAAACAGGTAAAATGCTCTAGTATTTCCCACATGCAGGTATGTATTTTTATAAACCCAAGAGATGAGTAGGCACAGGACATACTGAGGTATGCGAGGAGCACAAACACCTTAAAAGAAGCAATACACTTCAGTCAGATGTGCCTGAAGTCAGCTGTTTTTATTCCCCAAAATGCAACCCTATATCTCACACACCATGCAGACTAACCAAAGGAGCAGCCTGCCATCTCCAAACTAATTTCTGAGATCTGTTTTGCATTGCTATGAACGAAGGATGGGACTAGGACCTTCAGAGATCATGATGCCAATATGGGTCTCTCAACAGCACTCAGTTTTATAGCCATACTGAGAAGTACGCATTTTGATGCCTACTGCAGATATCAAATGAGACGCCTACACTCACAGCTGGAAGCTACTTATATACAAAATGAAAATGCAGGCATAAAGATAGGTATTAATAAACAAGTAAAGGAAATATTGTATGGAAAACCAAAAGATTACAGGAAGAAGTTTATGTCTGCGGAGCACTGACCTAGTCTGACAGGACTCATTGCTACAAACATCTCAGAACAATTTGTAGTTTTAAGCCAAAACATAACCTCCCTTTCAGACAAGCACAGAACACTCCTTTACAAATTATCTCAGTTTAGTAAAGCTGAAAGTTTAGAGCCTCAGCAACAAAGCAGGTTCTGCAAGGATCATATCACAACACTGATGCTGTCCGAGCCCTTGTAGATTTGGGAACTACCTCTGCTCTATACTAGGGGATTAAAAGCAACTTTTGGTCCAAAACTTTTCACTCTTAACAAGCTCTGGTATGACAACTCTTTTGGCATGTTGCAATTATGTGCAGATTAGCACCTGTGGGAAAACTTCTTACTGGCTTTGAGCAGGGATTGAACACATCAGATGGTACCAAAGTCCTTTTGCACTGTATTTCTGAAGGAGACAAACTGCATTTGTGTCCAGAATTAAGGAAAATGTGAGACGGCTTTCAGCAGTAGCTGTGAAAAATCATGGGCTTCTACTGGACAAGCACTTCTCTACCACTACAGGAGGGCAATGACCAGCCTGGGAGCAGCAAATGCCAGGACTCGGGTGTCTTTTGCTGCTGCAAAGACTTCTGCGTCTGAACTCCCATGCTACCTGACTGCACAGCAAAGCCAACAGAGATGTGATGCGTCCAGGGAAATAATTTTATATAATGGGAGAACTTTGATGTACTCTTGTGTAAATAGTAAGCCTCAAACTAGTTTGTATGTTCTCATGATCAGGACTAAGCTTAGAGAAGACTTCTAGGAACAGGGGAACTACAGATGCTCTCTTCTCTGTGGGTGTGCACATTGCGGATGGACTCCTCATTGCCTAAGGAGGAAGGAGCTCTTGGCTAAAGCTTTTACTGCAGCTATGGCACACACAGGAAGACCCTATCTAGGTTCACTGTGTCTAAGCTTGAGTGTGACACACCACCACTCTTCACCACCACAGGGAGCACTGTTAGCATTTTTACTCATCTGCTTTTTTTTACAGTCCTTTAAAAAACAAGTTTCTCCAAGAGCCCTACTACTCTGTTAAGTCTGTTTGACACTGGCCAACAGGTTCAAACACCATCTGGGTAGCACAGTCAGCCACTATGAATGAAACAGCCTTGTTTCCTTAGATGAGCACAGCAAAAACAACAGTCACCAGAAAAAGTTATC